AGTAGCTGTCTAAAAGTTATTTGAAACAAAAAAGAAAAAAGGTAGGAAAAAAAAGTTTTGGAAAAAGAGCTGTAGGACAAGTGCACAAGCTGGAACAGATGGCAGAAGCTCTTTCTTGAGCTTTAATAGTTCAGACAACATGAGGAGTGGGAAATACCCTCAGTGCTTTTCCTTAGGATATGCTTGCTATACACTTACTGCTAGGGTAAAAATATCTTCAAAACGCAGGTCTTTGAGATGCAAGTATACCCACAATGACATGCACATAAAAACAAGCACTTGAAAAAGAACTTAAGATATATCTAAGCATGTTTTGCTGTGGAGCTCTTTAAATGGGGTGGATATTTATGACATCATTTGGATGACTTTTTTTTTTTTATCCAAATAGACTCAATGTTCTCAATGCCCAGAAATGAAACTATAAAGAAGACAGGGTGAGCGTTGGTCATACCACGTTCTTCCAGTTTCTTAGTCTGTGTGCTAAGTGAGCAAGTGAAAATATGATCAGAAGAATGATAGTTATTTATTCAAAAGACATTCTTCCAAAGATGTACTATGGCCATTTTTCTTGGCAATACAGCACTTAATGTAGGTATCATAAGTTTCTATAACTTATACTACTGATACTCACCCAACATGCCATGAGATCCTTTTAAAGGTGCTGTGAAGTGCAAACACCTACACTGGATTCATAAGATACACACAGAGATTTCACATAGAAATCCATAGTGTCAGAAACCTTCTGGCCTGTTGTGATCTGAGTTCTTTTCATCAGAAGAACTGCTATATTACTGTTCTATAGTTAAACAGTGAGTAAAACATAAGAGCTAGAATTTTTCTGAAGGTTGCCTTGTGTCTACTGATGGATGCTCTGAGTCTAAAAAGGTTGAGAACCACTGCCTTAAACATTACCAAGGCACTATGAGTTCACACAAAAAATGTGTGTAGTGTAGAAGTGTTGCAAGCATAATATACTAGAACCATCACATGTTAGAGGTGTGTTTTCTCTCACATCCTCTCTGACAAGCACATATATACAGAGCCACATCCCGGTGACAGTTTATTCTGAATATTAGGTTGAAACAACCAAGATGTAATCAGTACCTGCTTCCTACTAAGCTGATTATCCTATTATATCCTGCTATCTGTTGGTAGCAAGCACCTCTCTTTACAATGTATTACAACTATCATATACTTGCCACTCTTTCTATAAACAATTTGATAACTAATTAGAACTACATGACCAAAAGGAAAAAAAGCAGTTTGACCCTTATTTTGAAAAGCCACAGACATACATATTTTTTGTTTGTCAGAAAATGAATTATGAATTTATATGTGATTTAGGCAGGTTTGTTTTCTCAGAGTGTGGTTAGGAATCTTCCTGTACTGGAACTGAAACTGGGACATGCTGAAGTGTCATGATTCTTTCCCAAAGGCCATCATCAGGCCACAGAGTACATTGATGACTCCAGGCCTCTAAGAGGATGAAAAGTGGGGCATATTAACCTTGTTAGAATGTCTTCTTCCAAAGGTATTCTTTATCAAACATCATGTCAGTTTAAGGCATAGCCCTTTATGGATAAGGCTGATGTTCCCTGAGGCTGTTGACCAGGCAGCATCTTTCTAACAGAGACATTTCCTCATTCCACAGAACAATGATAACTTAAAAAGGTTCATGTATTCAATTAAAAGAGCTAAACTCAGAGAACAGCTCAGAGAACTAAATCAAACCAATTTACTTGTTTAAATTTTGTCTTAAGAATTCAAAATTAAGTGAATACATAATAAAAATATATAGTGCGCTGCCTCTTGAAAGTGCTAGTAGTTTAAGAAGCAATCCTTAATCCTTTCTTTAAAGGCCACTGTTAGATTCTGAAACAGACTTCTTGCTCTTTTGCTGCTTGATTATTCCTGGGAGCCAGAGAAAGGCACAAGCTAGTAGCAGCCTTTGGAAGACAGGACTAGCAAAACCTTATTCTGTTACAGTGTTACCACTCAAAGAATCAGAACAATTTGGGTGGTTTGAATTATATAACTGATTAACCTGAGGATTTTGTTCTGTTATAGACTAGCAATTTTCTGTCTGCAATTTATGTTCTTTCTTTGAACACTGAAATGCTGCTGTCTTGGATCTGTTTCATAAACATTGAAAAATATTATAGTTCTCCATGTAGAAGGTGTTCACAGGGCATGCTTGTTTTGTGAACAATTCAGAATTCATGCTTGCTTTGTGAACAGAACTGTGCACCTTGGGTAGATATAATATACTGGCACAGAACATATCCACCTTTTCATTTTACCTCTTCTGTGTCTGCTCCTTTCATTCCTTTCTTTGGGTTTTTATTTACCCTCTCTCTCTCTAGTTAATGCAAGAAAGGTACAATCTCTTGGGCCAGGAGTCCTGGCTGTTCCCATTAGGGCACCAGTTACCACCATACCTACCCAGTTTTTCCACAGGCAATGCCTCAAGCTACATTCATTGTAGAGGGAACCAGAGAGCTGTTGTGAGTGACATGCAAAAATTAAGTTTGGGTATTTTAGAAAAACTTTCTGAGCCAAAAATAATGAGTATTAGATTCCTGGAAAACTGAAAACCATTGTAGAACTGCTCCATTTTCTCACCGAGTATCAGTGTACATGAAAGCTCCCTTCACAGGCAGCTTCCAAGGGTAGAAGGTATTTTTTTTGTTAGGAAGAAGAGTCATTAATCATGAGCTGATTAATGTACTTTTCTTTACCATAATCAGTACTGACCATGCACTTGCCAGTAATGTTATTAAATCCTTTTAATTTCCTAGTGAAGGCAGGTTCACTTTCTGTCCTGGATTTATTTCAACTATCAAAACCAACATTTTTCAAACCAACTAAAGTTAGGCACCTAAATCCATAATTAGACATTGACTTTAGTGCCTAATTTTCATTATCCATCTTTGCCTTCCATGGTACTACTGCTTCAGCAAAACGACTGGAAAACAAAATAGTTCTGAAGAGTTACAAAACTCTGGATGGCAAGGGAATTCTAAGTACAGATTTCCTTATATAGACTAACTCAATTATGTGGGATTAAAACTTCTAATTTCATTTACCACTGACTTTGTACTGTACCAGGAAAATAGGCACAGACTGTACTTCACTGGTTGATTGCTATGATTATATCCTGTAGCAAATTTTCAGAGTACTATGACTGACCACAAAACATTTTGCAGATCAAGGCAAACCTAATCCTTATAATGGCTCCACAGGATGAAACGTTGACATGCATATTTCACATCATTTTACTCCTTATATTCATTTCATTTAACAAATTATGGGATTTCTTAGGGCCTTTTCATTTTGGACTTAAATCTGCTTAGTATCTACAGGGAATGTTATCAAGGATTACTAGTATGCAAACTGATGAAGAAATGCTGCCCTGTCACTTTTACCTCTATATAAAGATATCAGCTAAACCTCCCTTTTAATGGAGGTAACAATAATCCAATGCAAATATATATTTTTTGCAAGGTGCATTAGTTCTATTGAGAAGGTTGTGTTTCTTCCACTACACAGTAAGTGGAGTGGAAGTATTGCAGTCCTACCCAATACTACCTAATGGCAAGTTTTCATGTAGTCAGGTTTACAAATAGGAACCTTTAATGTCCTTTAAAAGCTTATGACAATTTTTTTCAAGGTGGACCATCATATTTTGATCTGTGTGAATGTGAACACAGGAGACTCAGGGCTTGGTGGGGGGGGGGAGGGGAAGGGGAATGG